TTTTGTTGAATTATTATTAACTAAAAAGATTTTTAATTGGATTTTGAATAAATGTGCAATTAATTGTTACAATTTTGAATTTTACTGTTACTATCTTCCTTCCGTCATGCAAACTGCCCAGTCCTATGAGCCGCCCAGCCACGCCCATTAAGCCATGGCCACAGAACCGGTAGTAAAAAAAAATGAATCCCACCACTGGGTGGGGAGCACTGAGGATCAGTTTGTAGGACCAAGTCCACCAGGTGGACTGAAAAAGTTTGGGAACCACTGCAGTAGATTAAAGGAATTGTAATGAACATTGAACAGCAACAATTGCTATTTATAGACAATTAATTACAATGGGAAACTATTGAAGTTTAAAGACAGAATCACAAATTGGGGACATGTAAGGATATATAATTATATAAATATAATCACGAGAATAGCTGGGAATTGTAACCAGGTCTACATCTTGGCCAAAAATAGGCAGGGGTGGGTGGGTTAAAAGCACAATGGATATATATATACATACATGCATGCATGCATACACACACACACACTTTTTTGTTCTCTTTTTTTAAAAAGGAGGAAGATATATGTCAAATTAAATATGTATACTGAAAATACCATCAACATAAAATGGAGCTCAACTGAAATACACCAAATAAATGAGATGAAGAGTGTGAAAAAAGAAATTAAAAAATTGAAGACAATTGAAAAAAGTATTTTATAAAGAAATTGAAAAAAGAATTTTAAAATTGAAAAAGTTTTAAAAATTGAAGGAATTAAAAATTAAACATGATATTTAAGAGTTGAAAAATATTAAAATTTGAACAAATAATTTAAGAATTGAAAAAAGGAATTCAGGGTTTTTAAATATTTTGAATTTACAAGAGTTTTTGGCCCTTAATGAAATAATATGCACTTTTTGTTGGAACTCTCAGGATATTTTCTATATTTACTCTTAACCCTCTACTCCCTGCCTTGAAACTTTTCCTCTCTGTTCATAAGTGTTTTATAATTATCCTTTCCCCCCTGCTTTCTTGTCCTTCAGTTGCCTGGCTACTACTAGTGTTTTCAGGTATGATGTGCTGATGTGGACACTGTGCTTAGCTGGTCCAACTAAAAAGGGTATATAATATGGAGTACAGGAAAAGTAAAAATGTCACTTTTGAGGATCACACTCACTATTTAAAGCAGTTGAAAGCACAATATAAGACCCTTCTAAAAGAAAAGTACGGCTCTGAAGGAGTTTTGACATAGATTAATTACTTCAGTCAGGACAAAAAATACATCCCTATTTTGATACATCACCAGAGGATTGGGGAAACGTCCCCTACCCTCAACTAATCAGGTACCGATTCATGCCTGGGAAGAATATTTTAGGGAGCTATATTCAGACCCTGATTATGTAACCAAGGAGAGCCAANATCCCTCTCACAGTCACTGCTATTAAGCCTGGTTTCACCCAGTTTATATGTGTACTTTTGGTTTTTCTTACCTAAGTGTAGGACTTTACTTTTCTTTACATTTAATTTCATTTTGTTAGATAGGGTCCAGTGTTCAAGTTTGTCAAGATCCTTCTGGATCTTGAGCTTATCTTCTAGGGTGTTAGCTATTCCTGCCAGCTTTGTATCAACTAGAACTCATGGATCTTCTGGTTTATAGCATGGTGCTTTAACCTCTAAACAAACTGGCTAACCTTACCTTGTCAAAAAGTCCATATTCACAGATAAGTTGCTCTCGAGCTTTGGTGTTTATAGCTATTGTAAATCGTACATGAGGTATCAGGAGCTAAAAATGAGAAGAGAAAAAAATAGATTACTGGAGGAAAAACTTTTCATAACTTTCTAAATATTACCATAAAAGTTAGAAATGGATATGTAGTGAGCAAGGCTGAGCTCTTTTCTCAAACTTTTCTCCCAGAAAGCATCTAGAAGAAGCTTAGTACTTGGTGATTCCCACTCCCAACCATCTATCTTCCAAAGAGGCATTTCATTTAGTGTCCTTCCCATTAATCTCTGGTATGTTTGAGACAAAGAGCTCACAACTCCTACTGCTTTTCTGCTGAGTAAAAAAGGTAAAAATAAAAAAATTGAAAATACTGACTGTACCAGCTACCAACCATCTACTTCAGAACCTGTTGGGAATGATACAAGAAAAATAACCCTGATTTGATTTAATGAGGGCAATATTTATTCAGTGGTTTGATTTGCTTTAACCTAATGAGTGTAAAGAGACATATGAAAGATACTGTTTTTCAAAAATGAGTAAATATAACACAGCAGAGACCTTTTGGAGTTTTCTTCTTATGGAATAAATTTTTGAATCCATAGGCTCCAACATCTTCACCCAAGTTCTTCAAAAATCCACTTTTCTGAAATCCCATATGCAAGTCTCTTTTATTTTTACCCAAACATTTTCAAAAATATTTCCATGTTCTTGTCCCTGATCTTCTGTGCAAGTATACATTTTCTTCTTGTATAATGGGGATCCATTCCTCCAGCAGAGGAAAGCGAGACCAGACTAAACCCTTGTCTATCAGAGGAGCCTTGCCATCCCTCTCAGGCCACTTGGAGGATCCCTGGATGGTGCTGCAGGCTGCCTGGAGCCCTGGGTAGTTGAGGGCAAGTGCCCATCCCTGCACAGTCTTTCCCAAGGGGTTGCCCAACTGCGCTTACCTCCTCCTCAAGGCTGCTGCTGCTGTGCTCACTCTCCTTGGCCAGGTTTCTCATGCTGTGTGCAGGACAGCAAAGTGTGTGGGTCAGAGGGAGGCCTATGCCTTCTCCATGAGAGGAGATCTGGCTTTGTAACCAAAGCATCCTCAGCGATAGGATGGGAGACCATCAGAAAAGGTCAGGAAGAGGGGACAAAGGGATGGCAAAAAGGCAGCATGGCTGCTCATGGCCAAGTGCTAAGGCGGGGTTTTCCTCAGACCCTCCCTCCCTTGCATTATAATTTCCTTCCTTCCTTCCTTTTCTTTTTCCTTCCTTGCTCTCTTCCCCTCTTTTCTTTTTCCTTTGTCTCCTCTTTCCCTTTCTCCTTTCCTATCCCTTCTTGATGCTCAAATGCAAAAGGGGAAATATTTCTTGATGCCTCTTTGATGTGATCAAATGCCACTTAAAAGACTGAGAGCAAACCATGCTCAGTTTATTCCATGCTTGCATTTAGTGGGGGCATCCACAGACAACAGTACAGCTGTTGATAGTTGATCAGAGCTCCTGTTTTTTATGTACAACAGCTTTAGCATTTAGGAACAGAGGTAAATTAGTTGCTTTTCTATTAATACATAATCCTTAAAAGGGCTCTCCTGTAGGGACCCTGCCATAGTCTAATTCAAACTGGAAATATAACAAAGCAAAATATTTTCCCCATTCTGCTTTGTCCTGTTTTTCCCACTGGAAATGGCTGTTTGCAACACATAAAGAGAGGATACTTTCCTAATTTTCAATTCAAGAATGCCAATGTTAACTTGGATTGCCAACAAAATTCTGTCCGTGACAAAACAGAACACAATATTGCTTTCTCTTTCAACTGGAGCATTTCCAACCAAGTTGCCTTTCCTTCCTTCCTTCCTTCCTTCCTTCCTTCCTTCCTTCCTTCCTTCTTCTCACCCTTTCTCCCTCCCCTCCTTCTTTCCCTGCTTTCTTTTTTTAAAACTGCCAGAGGCTCCAGACAGAAGCTTCCCATTTTAACCCCTCTTCATTGTCTCTGTGCCTGATGGGCCTCTGTGTGGCTCTCAGCTCACTTCTCCCAGACTTGCATACGTGTTTATTTGTAAGTGTGCGCACACAGGGGATCTCCCCCCTTGCCGTCCCATGTCCTGAACAGAGACCTTTTCCGATGGCAAGCCTGATGCTGAAAGGGCAGTTCTGCTTCCACCTCATCCCCGCACAATGCCAGAAGTCACATGCAACTGTTGTTTGCCTGTCGCATCACCCCCTCCAAAACTGGACATCACCTATTGCCCATCTCATTCTATCTCCTTTCTTCCTCCACATTCAGGAAGGGATGGCGGGGGGAGATTGGCAGCATGGCTTTCCCACACCAGGGGGAGGGTGTCCCAGTGAAAGGCTGACAAGCAGGGCATGGAGATGCTGGTGCGGCCATGGCACTGATCTGCAACCTGGTTATGGCCATTTTGGGCCAGACTGCGACCAGTCTTAGATCTGTGCCACTGCCTTGACCCAGTCGCCTGGGCGTGCACACAGGAGGTGCAAGTTCATGAGGGCTTGTGGACTGGGTGAAAGGGAAGCACTCAGAATGCAGTCCCCAGGGATCTCGGACCCCATGTGTGCTTGCTGCCTTCTGTGTACATATTCAGGGGGCAGGGGCAAGGCAGCGCCCCAGATCTAAGGCTAGTTGCGGTCTGGTCTGTTTGCAGATCAGCATCCACTTGGCCTAGGCCAGGCTGTGGTGCCGCAGGCTGGTCTTTGACTATTTCCAGGGTGGCCCCACGGGCCGGATCTAACCACTTTGTGTGCTGAGTCTGGCCCACAGACCTTGAGTTTGACACCCCTGTTGTACAGTGTAGCCTTCCAATTATAAACATCATCACAGAACATTCCAGCAATAACAATCACATCATACTTGTTTTTTGAATGAGGATTTCTAATGGTTTATTGGGTCTTACAGAATCAACTCTCCTTGCTATCCTCAGTTTATTGCATATACAGTGCGTGTGTATACACATACATAGCCACCCTGCCTTTAAGAAACTACAGGGATTTGTCCAGGCAGTCATCATAACACAAATACACACACACAAAACACACACACACACATTTCTGAGTCAATCTTGAGTCGCTGTGGTTGTCATGTGGATATGGCTGAATGTATACTGACCTGATTTTATGATTTTTTTGTGGCACCCTTGTTTAGTAAACATTACAATTGTTAAGTGAATACATGTTTTGTTATGGGCTGGTTTTGCCAAAAAAAGGGAAGCAACTGCCACTTTTCACCCGAAACCATAAAAAACCATGGTCACATGACCATGGAACACTGCAAACAGCTGTAAATGCAGTTGCATTTCCAAATGCCATTGGAATTTCAAAACCAGGTCATAAATTACCCCCAGGTCCTTTATAAGATTGAACAGTTGCTAACTGACTAGTTGAGACTACCGGTACAGTCATAACTCAAATCAATGAACTGATATAAGCTACAATCACTGTAGCTCAATGCTTGAGATGCTCTGATATAGGATTACGAAGAACAGCAGTACATACACCTTCTCTCACTCTCTTGGTTTTCAGTCTGCTGCCTTAACCATTGTATCAAATTGGCCTTATTATAGATTATAAAATAATATAGCTTATTCTAGTATTTTAATAACCCACCTTAAAGAGAGGATGGACCGCAGGCAATTGTCGGAACATAGCCACTGCAAAAACTTCTGAAACTAAGTGAGTCCGAAGCAGATGAGTCACAGTTTGATGTATATGGAAATCAGAAGAACGTACCCATATTTTGGCTAATAACCAATCATATTTAGCATCAGATGGAAGGAAAATAGGATTGCATGGTTCAGGAGCTTGATTTATCTGAAAGATTTAATAGAATAGTTAATATCTTCAACAACAACCAAAATGTTATTTAATTGGATAAAACCAAAATTACCTGAATTGCAATAGGGAGAATTTTATTCTCTAAATTTTTATACAATAAACAGATAGGAGCAGCCAAATACTGTACTGTGCAGGGGTCTGTCTTATTGACGTCAATATCTTCCAGTTGTTCATAGTCCACAATGAAAATATTTCCTTGCTGTCAAAAAAAAAATTATGCAATTGAGATTTAAATATAATTCTGGAAGCGTTAAGTATTTTATAATAGGATGAACAATTAAATTACTTATGCCAGTCTGGGTTTATTTATTTTTTTAAAATACATTTATCTTTAACATATAGAAGTATTTCGTAAACAGTGTTTGTCTGGGTCTTTTTACATATACATATATAATAATAGTAGTAATAATATTCTTTACTTATATGTTCTGTCCCCCCTTCACGGCTCTTAACAAACGGCCAGACAAATAAACTTAAAAGGAACTTTNGCTGTATTCAGTGTATAAGACGCACCCAGATTTTCAGCCTCTTTTTGAGGGAAAAAGGTGCATCTTATACTCCAAAAATATGGTAAGTGATGCTAGGACTCCAAGATCCATCTCGCAGTTACTGCTGTTGAACTATGTTTCACCTAATCTGTACCTGTACAGTTTGTTTTTCTTGTCTAAGTGTCAAACCTTGCTTTTTTCTACATTGAATTTCATTTTGTTAGAAAGAGCCCAATGTTCAAGTCTGTCAAGATCCATCTGGATCTTAAGCCTATCTTCTGGGATGTTGGCTATTCCTGCCAGCTTGGTGTCATAAAACAGAACCTTGGGGCTTTTGCTTTGTCGGCGGAGACCCCGCTTTTAACAGTTCAACTTCTGCAAAAGGGGGGATGAATTGCCTGTATTCAGCATCAGCTTACTTTGTGTGTGCAAAGCCTTTGGGCAGCCAAAGGGCCATAAGGCAGATGCAGTTCAGCTGAAGAGATTAATGTTATGTTCTTGCTGATTTGTTACTATTGTTTATGAATTATTGGGAAAAGGCACAAGCCCTTTAGGAGGTACCAAGCTAGCAAGGTCCAAGACGGGTTCCAAGTCCAGGTAAAGAACCTTAGGAATTCCAAAACTGGAGAGTTAGCTTGAGAAACCTCAGCAAGGAAAACGCCATTACCAATCACTCCAAACATTAGTCACAAACATTGCCCTCTAGTGGCTCCTCTACAAATTGCAATCCAGTACTTTGAGCCAACATTTGCAAGGCACCCTAGCGGCCAAAAGGTGAACTGCGCTTGCATCTACAAAGTTTTGCAATGCACCCTAGTGGCCGACAAGTGCACTGCGCCTGCATCTACAAAGTTTGCTACATAATACAGTGGGCGACCAGTGAACTGCGCCTGCATCTACAAGGTTTGCTACGTAACCCAGTGGCCGACCAGTGAACTGTGCCTACATCTACAAAGTTTTGCAACGCATACTAGTGGCTGACAAGTGAACTGCACCTGCATCTACAAAGTTTTGCAACACACCCCAGTGGCCAAAAAGCGAATTGAACTAAAAAAAAATCATAATACATAAAATAAATTTCCTGTGCTAATCCTAGTCATAGAATCCTTTCTAGCCATGGCAGAAGGGTCAGACATGCCGATCCTCATGCCTGAACCCACCATAGACTCAATATTGGTTGTCCAAAGCTCAGAATTGGTCATCCAAAGATCAGAATTGGATGTCCAACTATCAGAAAATGCAGAAGCACCTCAGATAGCCTACAACCTAAGGCAGCATAGAAACTCTATGCAGATTAAACAGTCGAACCTCTTGGAGGATTGGGACAGGCTATACCAAAAGCACAAGAATCGCTGGAAGAAGTTGCAGCAACTCTATGACAAACTCAAAGACGAGTTATCCCTCAAACACCTCCGTTCATTAGACGAGGACACGGACGAGTGCTTCATGCAATGGATAGTTTATGAGGACTGCCTCAATGACATCCAGCTTCAACTAAATGACGATGAAGAACTCCAGAAGAAGATGCTGCACATTCAGACGTTAAACAATGAACGTAAAAAGCCGTTTCAATGCAGCAAAAATCTTATCCAAGCCAGTCTGAAGAGAGAGACCGTCCTGAAAAAGAAGGCCGAGTCCGAGTTATCTTGTCTTTCATACGCAACATCTCAGCAGTCGCATGCGGCTTCCTCTCAGGCTTCTAAAAAGGCATTCCCATCTAGTCCCGAGGACATATCAGGAGCAAAAGCCATGTCTGAGGTGTCTCAACATTCGCAGGCGTCATCTCAGCAGTCACACGCAACCTCTTCCCACGTCTCCAAAAAGGCCTCATCCTTCCGACCAAAATCAACTTGATCTCGAGCGGGTAGCAGCATCTCGCAGCAATCTTCCCATTACAGCCAAAAGTCACAGGCATCTATAGTTGTAGAAGCACAAATGGAAGCTGAGATGGCCAAGGTAGGTTTAGAGGCAGCAAAGGAAGAGCAGCTGCTGAAGGAAGAGATGGCAACCGTGGAAGCAGAGAAAGTTCTACGCGAAACCAAAGCTCAGGCAGAGAGGGCTGGTGCGGAAGCCAAAGCTCAGGAAGAGAGGGCAGCTGTGGAAGCAGATGCGAACCTACATAATGCCAAAGCTCAGGCTCAACTGGAATATCTTCAGCGCAAGCGGGAAGCGAAAGAAAGACTAATACAGGTCAAAGCTCTACAGGCAGAGGCTAATGGTGCCTTCCTCAACTTCAACCCTATAGAGTTAGAAGAAGAAAACCCAGATGCACGTGTCAAAGCCTACGTAGACGGCCAACGTGGGATACAACAGGGACAATCACCAAACTCACAAGGTAATGAGACACATCACATCGTTCAAGTTGCAGCATTCGACACCTCCCTTGGAATTGGAGAGCCTACCCCAACAAACCCGGACACACAAGACGATCACAGCAATTCCCCAGCAATGGCAAATAATCCTCAGCCAGCAGGAACACAAATAGCCGCAAGTAGCAACCTCAACGTCGAAGCAAAGGAATTCCAGCCAATACTTTAAAGCAACTTGAACATGAATGGACAGAGTAATAAACACGATCAACCTGCAGAGCAACAACGAAAACAACCTTAGCCCACACCGTGGCAAGATGAAGTTGCACAGAACCTTTCTGAAGAATACCAGCTGTCCTTGGCAACCGTGCCTACTCCCACAGACTATACCTGCTTGAACCAATGGGAGACCACTGGTCCTGATCCAACTAACCATTACCATCTCCCCCAGCATACAACACCAGAGCAGAATGGCAGCCTTGCCAGAGGAAAGTAGACTTGGCATCTAGAAGGACACAGAAGTTGTCTGACACACCAGGCCAAGTCTATTGGATATGGAAGCATGTCTTCCTACTTGCTGTCCATGCATAGAAGGTAAAGCCTGATGGAGAGATCATACATATGATGGCTTGGCTAGGCCCAAAGTCTGCACAAATGGTTACAAATATCTACCACACTTATCTGAAGGATCCAGTCACAGCCTGTAAAGAGGCTTGGAAAGAACTTGATTGACGGTATGGCACATCTATGGTGACCGAAACTGCACTCTTGAAACAGGTCAACAATTTTCCTAATATTAGCCTGCATGACCATGACCAGTTATGGTCATTCTCCTCTATAGATGATTCTTTTTTTCCTGTCTCCTCAGCCTTCCCTCTCAGATGTTCCGCGAAAAATGATTCTGCTTTCTCAGTTGTATCTATTCTGTATCTTTGTCCTTGCCATACAAACATAAGACCTTCTGGTATCAACCATCTGTAGTTAACACCTTTTTAAAGTAGAATTTTAGTCAAAAATTGATATTCTCTTCTCATCTCTCTCACTCTTCTTGGTACTTGTTTCAAAACTACAATCTCCTTGCCTTTATATACCAATTTTTTGTCTCTTGCCTTCTGTAATATTTGTGTCTTAGTTGCTTTCTTAGTAAATCTTATGTGGCCTTCTCTTGGGAGACCATTTCTCGCTGCACATCTTTTATAGACTCGAAAGTCCTCATCTATACTGTCCATCATCTTCACCTGGTTCATCTCCAGAACATCTGTCAAAATTTCTGTCATTATTTGTGCCAAGTTCTCGCCTTTTTCTTCTATATTTTGGAATCTGAGAAAAAATTCTGACCTTTTGATCTCCCATCCCAATATTTCACTGTTGGTCTTTTTCCACGACACATAATCTGCTGTTAATATCTCCAATTTTCTTCTGTCTTTGGTCATCTTTTTCTTCAATTATGTGTAGTCTGTCCTTGTATTTCATCATTTGTTTAATGTTTTCAATTTTTTCATCTGTTTTTCCTGTTTTTTGTTCAATATTTACTGTTCTTTGTTCTATTTTCTCTATTCAATTCTCACAGTTCTCTTTTCTATATTCTCTGTTCTTACTTGTATCTTTTGTACTCCTTGCATAATCATCTCTAATGTTACTCCCTTGTCTTTTTCCTGTTGCAGCATCATCTATATTGATCGTTGTCCTCCTGATGGTAAATGAAGAGGAGGTTGTTGTTGCAGAGCCAGTGGTCATTATTTTTTTGCTCGTCTTCAAATTCTTCTATGTTTTAATCCATGTAGTATGGAGGGCAATTGTAATCCCAATTGACTATGGAATAGTCAAAATATGAAAAAAACAAAAACAAAAAAGGTAGCAACAGTAAAACAAAAATAAAAATGTAAAAATGTAAAAGTGTGTGTGTGTGTGTGTGTGTGTGTGTGTGTGTATTCAAATTCTCCCTGAATCCAATTCAGTAAAGCAAGATAGCAGATGTATCCAAAAGAAGAGACAGAAAAAAAACCCAGAGAAGCAGCACAGCTTCTTTTTCCCTTCCCCCTTAAAAAGGGGGAAAGGAAGAAGCCAAACTTCTACAAAAGACCTCAAACCAGCTAGGAATTGCTAAGTGGAGAGGAAAGCAGGGAAACAAAAAAAAAGATAAAATAAGAAGAAAAGCAACAGAGGAAGGTAAACACTGCCATCGAAAAAGTCCAAAGCTTTTATAAAATGAAAGCCTTTTCAAGGTCACTTTAGGCTTTTTTCTTTGAATTTCTATTTATTATTTCAAAGCAAAGCTCCACACACTGATAGTATCACAGAAGAGCACCTGTATAAACAAACCTCCATGCTCATCCCACTATCATTCCTTCACCAGGCATTGTGTCCTTGAAAAGAACAGCTTTTCTCCAAACACTCATGTG